AGAGAGAGAGAGAGAGGAGTGTTCCAGTTCTAAAGAGCTTGCTGCACTGCCTTATATTTGCTAGACTACAGTCCATACTTGCATTTAAACTAGATCATAAGCCAATACTTGTATCAAAAAAGAATGAGCTGCTTATCATCCTCTTTCTGTCTCTTTGAATTTGTTACTACGACCCATAACCACAACCCTGATCTGCAGAGTGTGATTCATAGACACAGCTCTTTTCCACAGAGCTGTACCTACATACGTCCCAACTTTGTATTCTTTCCCACTGACCAGTAGATTCTCCTTCTGAATTTGTATCACATTAGTTTTCACAGACTCAGATGACTCAAAGATGATGTGGCTCAAGAGGTAACAATTAGTATTGTTGTTCGACATCTGGTAACTGTTGGTACTTACTGTAATATCGTGATGCATTATTTTAATTAAAATAATAACCAGGCGAGGTCTTTTCTCCATTTGGGAAACAGTTGGAGACAGGCCTCTGTGCAGTAGGGTCAGATAGCAGCCTATTTTAGTAATATTAATACATCTAAAACATCTACGTTTCCTTATAATGTCATTATACAGCTTGTTCAGGCGTCCTACTTAATCTGTTCTGTTTAGAGATTCAGTGCATCTCATGGATATTTGACAGTCCTTTATTTCTATTTTACATGTATGCTTTGTCTGCATGTGTGCGTGTGCACCACCTGTGTGCCTAATACCCACAGAGGCCAGAAGAGGGCATCAGATGTCCTGGAACCGGAGTTACAGGCATGTGAGAGCTGGCATGTGGGTGCTGGGAACTGAACCTCACTCCACTGCAAGAACAGTCCTCTTACCTGTTGGGCCAAAACCCCGGATTCTTCCTTTTTCCAATCAATTGTTTAAAAACGGTCTTACTTCAAGTTAAGCCAATAACGTGATGGGTTGGATTCATTTGAAGAGTCCCTACCCAGACAAAGAGCAAACTATAGACAAGATAATTGAGTGAGTGGAATAGAGCTGATTGGATGACAAAAATACAATGATGCTGGAGATGTATTTTTTTAGATGGGAGAAGAGGGAAGTGATTGCACTGGAAGTGTGCCACAGATGTTTCTTACCTGGCTCACACTGATCACAACTTCTTCCCTGCTGATGAGGCAGGCATAGGCACTGCCTGCTGACGCTGATCGGGTCACAGCTGGATCCAGGTGATGTCCCTAACGAGTCGCACTCACACATCTGGCAGCCTTGAAGATTGTCTAAGGTCAAATTGTATCTGTGAGATTCACACTGATTGCAGTGCAGACCTGTGACCCTTAATTTGCAAGGACATTGCCGTGTTGATTTGTCACACAGCAGAGAGCCAGTCTCATGGCAGTACCAAGACACACAGAGGAAGGAATTACTTTGACACAGGAAGTAGCCTGGCAAACACTGGTTGCACTGTCTCCCTCCAACGTTGGGCTTACAGATGCACTGTCCTGTCTCGACATCACAGACTGTCCCGGGCTGTGAGCCAGCTCTGTTGCAGTCACAGGCCTTACAAGAAATACCGGCCAACCCATAAAAGTTTTCTCTACAAGTGTCACCTTTAAGTCCTCTGGCTTCTCTTTTGCGCTCACACTGCCCGGAAAGGGGATTGCAGAGTTGGTTCACTGAGCCGTGGCGGTTACACCGGCAGGGTTCACATCCATCATCATTAAAACTTCGGAGAAATTTAAATCCGAATTTGCAGCGATTACATTTAAGCTCTGAAAATAAAATACGTTTTAAAAGGTGAGGAAGGTAGAATAATTCTATTCAAGATGGCTGAGGATGAAGCAACATTACTGCAGATATTTAACGCAGAAAGAAAAAGCAAGCGGCACACTGGTCTTCTGTTTGTGCAGAATTCTATGTTGGTACAAATTTGACTCTCACACTGACATTGAGAACAACGTACTTTGTAAAATTTAATCACTAATTAATGCAAAGAAAAGTGCTGAACGTACATGTTGTTCCTGTTTTATGTATGGGGCTTCTCTCCTAGTCGCACAAATAATAAATCTATTCAAACAAAATGTGTACAGAGCTGCGCGGTAGCACAGTAGCTGCTTTGTTAGAAATCACCATTGCCTGAAGAGATTCGGTAAGGTGTTAGTAAAGGGCTACAAAGTGTGAGGAACTTCAGTTAGACAGAATAGATGGTTCCAGAGCTCTGTTCTAGAGCCTGGTGACTAGCTTTTTAAATAGCAAACTGCACACTTGAAAACTGGTGAGGGGACAGATCTTAACACTCTTGTCCACAAAAACTTGTTAAGTATATAGTTAGATATATCAGTGACCCTGAATAAAACACTTCATAACATGTCTGTATACCCAAATACCATGCCACATTCACACGAAATTACAAAATCCTTATTTGCTTATTATATCTTTACAAACTAGAGAGGGGAAAAATTAAGCACTAAGCTGACAGCTATTTTGTGACAAGAACATACACACTTTCAAATATCACACATTTAAATAATTAATATAAATACAACTTCTCCAGAGTAATTTTATTTTAATCCTTTTGAACGCGCCTGTGTTTTATCATTTTCAATTAATATAAATTATGCTTTCCTTGGCTCATAAGGCAGTCACACTGCCTGTCAAATCGTGTGATCCAAAACACACCTCTTCAAACACTAAATAAATTTGGCTCTTTGTGTTATTTCTCTTTAAAGGAGTACATACATACATTTTACAAATGGAGAAAAATGTTTTGTCATCTAAACTCAAACCTCTGACAACTTATGTCAGCCTTCAAAAGGACATTGCAAAGCAAAGGAATTTGAAGAAAAATGCAACAGTAATCTTTATATGTGAAACCCTTTCTTTACGGAAATTGCACATATCCATGACTTTAAATACCTGACCAGGTGGCACTGAATCAACTGAGATATCTATCTATTTTCAACTATAATTGCAATAAATATCTTAGCCCTAGAATAAGACTCAGATACAAACTCAGGAGCTCATATGGAGTAAAGGTATTTCTAAACTGGAAGGAAATACATAATGTGCATGTATATGTGGATAAAAATTCTAGAACTCCAGAGGAAGGCAGGTCCTTTAACAGTGATGAATGACTCACCTAAGGCATATCATTTCATTTCAATAAGGAAAATAAAAAAGGACCAAGATTGCTGCAAATTTTAAAAATAACTGTATTGTTAACAAGAATTATGACTCATTTTGAACTATTAAAATTGGTCTACATGGATTCATATCATATCAGTTTTAAAAATATGCACAGTGCTTATTTGAATATGCCATACATATTCCTGACAGGTAATCTATTCCTAACGATACTCGGGAAGGCCTACGGGGCATCGCATTCGTGCTAACAAGTGCAGCCGCCTTAGCACACTTGGCATTTAATTCCCATTCTTCTCCCTTTTTATTCTAGATGAATGACCTACTTTAATAAAATTATTGGTGCTAATGTATTTTACTGGTGATAGAATCATTAGTGAGATTTAACGGTTTTGTTAACTCTAACAGTTTGCTTTCCCACACATGTACAGCACAGCCTTGTGTTTTCCAGGGTTTTGTTTGTTCCTGTTAACAAGGCAATCTTGAGCAAGGATACTTGCTAATCCCATTAGGAAAATATATATACGTGTCAAGTTTGTGTTTTTATTCAAAGTATTTCACTTGCGGAAATTACTCAGAAATCACTATTAAGAATAATGTTAAAGTGATGATTTAATCATCGCAGAATAACATTTATATTTTCCTGCAGAACACCATTCTGAACAACCAGTAAAAGAAGTAGAAGGCAGTGAGCATATAGAGAGGGGTCAGGGTGAATGCTGGGTGATTCTTAACACTTTTCCTTCTTCGGGCCCTGGAATGCGAGCACCACAGGGACACAGGGACGAGGCCATCCTCCCAGAAAAGCCAAAACCTCATCCTGTAAAGACCTCTGCTTAACTCATTTCTACACACTGAATTTGAAACATGTCTCATACCAAAGAACAAAGGAGACCACACAGATGAAATTCACATCGCTTATCACACCTACAAAGACCTGCTGCTCTTCCAAGCCAGCCGACTTCAAACAGTCAGTGCTGCGTGAGTGAGTGATGTTACACCCGCCTTATTTTTAATTCCTTAAACCACAGGGAGCCTGTGTAATACTGTCAATCCTTTCTATCTTCTTTTCATTAGTTTAATTTAAATGCTTGCCTGATGATACTGAGGGACATGACATTTACATGCATATATGTGAATAAAACAGATTGGCTTATAGTACAGAAATTAAAAATGCCATTTAGAAGAACATGAAAATACATATAAATATATATATATGCATGTACGCTTGCACATATGTGGTGTGAGTGGTGTGCAAGGTGCATATGTATATATGTATGGATGAATGAATGTGTATATGTGTGTGTGTGTTTATGTATGAGTGGTATGTGTGGATTATATGTGTGTTGTGTGTGTTGATGTGTGTATATGTGTATGTGTAAGTGTGTAATGTGCATGGTATAAGTGGTGTGGGTATGTGTTTAAGTGCTCTTCATGGTGGTGTATGTGTATGTGTGTGCTATGTGTATACATATGTATTTGTCTATACATGTGTGAATAGTGTACATGATATATGTACACGTGGTGTGCATGTGTCTGTGTTGTTCATGCTGTACTTGTGTGTGTCTGTGTGTGTGGTGTTCATGGTGTATATGATGTGTATATATGCATATGTGTCTGTGGATGTATGTGTGTGGATGTGCATCTATGTGGTATTCATGGTATACTTGAGGTGTGTATGTGAATGTGTGCTGTACATGATGTGCACACTGCTAGGCATGTTTTATTACCATGAGGTTTAGGTCAATGTTAACAGAGCCATGCTGGACTCAACACCTGGATGACGATAGAAAGGCCGAGGTCTTCCTTAAACTCCTACAGGAGCCGAGGCTCGTTCAGTTATGATACAGGACGCACCTCATCAGAAAACTTTCCTCTCGTAATATTCTCATATATCAAAATTTCAAAGGGCATTATGTATGTGGTGCATTTCGGGCACTTGATAAATTTTGGCCTCATGTGGCGGTGGTGCCCCTCAAAAATGCTGGATGTAATAAATTGCTATAATCAAATCTAATTTATGAAGAATACCTGTGGGAGTAACAAACAAAAAAGCACGTCTTATATAAAAAATGATAAATAACACCAGAGCTGGCTGTTTATTATAATCGGCTTGGTACAGAATTACAAAATTAAAATTATGTGGCTTGTTATAAGTAACCCTAGCAATAGGCACGATCTGTGGGATGACATTAACTTACTTTGCACTTCATAGGAACAGTTCAAAGAAATATAATAGAAAAAATGGAAAGATTTATCGCAAAGGACCCTGTAGCATAGGATATTTTGAAAAAAATCCATTTATTTTGCAAGGAAATGGTTTGCATGGAACTCATTAAATGCAAAACATTTTGAAAAAGTGTTAATTTTCTAAAAGAAACATCTATGCAGTAAGCAAATTATATTTTTCTATGACTTATTAGTGTGGGTGCATGCGAACTAATGCATTTTCTGAATAAAGAAACTTCTAACACAGTGATTAAACTAAGCTTCAAACTGCAGTTTGATAGAATTATTAATTTAATCATTTTTAGACAGTTAATTTTATCCAAATTTATTTTTCCAGTCTGCCTTGAGCAAGGAAATTTGCTTGACGCTTCAGTTAAGAAATCAAACTGAGCATATTTCTCTCAGTTGGTAATAGAGATGTGGCTGTAGACTTGCACATTACACATACCAAAAACGTTTGCCTTGCACAGGCTCTGGCCTGAATTTGGGTGACAGGTAATGTCTCCATTGACAGTCCCCGGGGTGTTGCAGTTACAGGGGTGGCAGCCATCAGGATGTAGCTCCTGCAGGTCATAGACTCCATCCTGGCACCGAAGGCACCGTCTGCCAGACACTCGTCTCTTACGATTACACTGGCGTCCAACCTGCAGGAGATACAACATTTTGTAGAAAGATGAATATTATCTATTTTTAGATAATTTGCTCATTAGGTACAAGAGAGGGCGGGAGGAGGGAAGAAAAATCTTGAAATGTTAAATAGACAAGAAGGTGATAAGGAAGTTCCCCTGACAGAAAACACAAGGAGCTTCAGAAGGAAGAAAATAGAGAAAGGGACAGAAATAGAACCAGGGAAGTCAGTCATATATGACTAGAAAGGAAATGGGGAACTAGGTATTTAAGTGCTATATAAAGAAATCAAAATATAGACATTCAAGTCCTGAAAATAGAAAAGAGCCGACAGCTAATTTAGTCTTCACAACTCCAGGTTTCCCTCCTCTTGTTTTCTAACTAGTTGGTCCAGACCCGTTTTATACATGTAGGTGTTTTAATTGACAAAGAATCTTTCCACAAGAAGACAGCCCCACTAAGTGTTAATGTTATGTAAAGCATGCACTCAGCCCCTCTTTTGGGAACACCTCAGCTTCTCACTTTTTACAGCATCATTTAAAGGAAGTCTATTTATCTGGTTCATGTCATTGTAAATAAAACATACAGTTTCAGATATCTTGGAAAGAGATTTCAAATTACAGATTTAAAAGAATTATCACTGCTTCAGGATGCCTCATCTGAGTAAAAGGACTCACTGGATTTGCTATTTCAGGATAAAAGAAGACAACTGGTGTGCAAATATTTAAGTCATAAAAAGAAAGTTTTAGATATGGTTATAGGCAACCAACTTCTATCCAAGACATCAGTGGCTATAGAAAGATGAGCCAGTGCTTATGAAATGTGGCCTTGTAACTTGCTGTATTTCCCACCTTCGTTCTTATGCAACCCCTCAGAAGCTATGAAATTAGTCAAAAGTGGGGTCTGATTTTTCCTGGAAAATAACTGGCATTTATTGGTAGTTATGTGTTACATCTCGCTATGAAAATCCAACAGGCTTCTGACTGCATATTTCTACCATTTCCAGTATATCACCCGGTAACAGGGGCCTGACTTCTTTCTGGAGATCAACATATCTGAGTTTTCTTCTCCAGTTGGCAAGCACCTTACAGGACTGGACACGCATTGCATTTCTGACCAGGAATAATCATGTGCATTACCACATATAAAGTGTGGGAACCAAGGAACAAGAGGATGGAAGAGTGCCAGAGGAGGAGAGGACAGGGCGCGCCAGAGGAGGAGAAACAGGGAGTTCTGGCTGAGCTTTACCTGTGGGTGTTCTCTTAAAGCTTTTTCAATGTATTATTGCTATCAACAGGACTTCATCCCCCCTGAAATCCTAGTGAGGCTCCTTGTCTCCCTAATTTCCTTCTCCTTAAATTCCTAAGAATTCTGTGTGTATGGTAACCTTGTGGTTACTGTGGCCCTAATTTTCCTGTTCTGTCGTGGAATCTAAAGTCAAGGAGAGTCCACCCCTATCACCTTGGCCAGTGTTTCCATTTTATGGAGAGTAATTCTTGTCAAAAGTGGGTTTGTTAAAATTTATTAAGAATTCGGGGTGAAAAGGGAAGTGTTCTAATTGAATTTAATATTGTTCTTAGTTTCCCTAAAACTAGGTTTGCTGGGCTTCCGGGCACCACGGTCGCTCACTTCTCTTTTCGCTCTGTTCCAAAACAGGCTTTAGACCTATCGCCATGTTTTTACAAAAAATTCCCCCAAATATCCATTAGTGCCTCAAGTTTGGCATTTTGTCTCTAAAAATAATTCCCTCCCTATGAGCCACGCTGCTGAAAATTCCTAAGATAACTACTTTTATTTCATTAATCTAAAAGTATATATAATGCATGCAAATGAAAATTCATCCCTGTTAGCAACAATCCAAGATGCAATTTGAAAGCTACAAAAGGCTTTATAAATATATAAAACATATAAACTTTACCATTATTCAAAAATTAGCTAAAAATACAGAATTTATTATGTACCTTTCAATGACAGATGTATTTTGATAGTGAGGTAACATAAATCTATGCTATGACGAATCCTTGACTATCCATACGTAGAAAGATCATGCCTCCTTCTTTAAAATGCATGGCAGTGGCCCAGGCTTGTAATCTCAGCTTTTGGGAGCCTGGGATAGGAGAACTGTCAGAGATTTGAAGCCAGTCTGAGCTATGTAGTAAGTTGGAAGTCAGCCAAGGCTACAGAGCAAGCAAACTGTCTCACATAAACTCTTCCAGTAGTCTGACACAGGTTCCATAATGCTTGGTGGATAACACACCTGGGATGTTAGGTTGATACTGATTTTCTTTGGCCAAGTTAGCCAACATGTTCCATGCTGGGGCTTGAAAATGCTTATAAATAACTCTCACTGGGGTCAAGAATCTAAGCTTACCTTGTGAACAAACGCCTGAGGGAAGATTTAGAGGACACGATGGGAAGGTGTCCAGCCTAAAGCTGTTCCTTTTACCCCAGTGAAGAGTCTGCTTGCCAGTCTCAGAAATGTGAGGCCCTCCTAGCCCCTAGCTATAGACACAAGAGAGGGAACTCAGGAAAGGTTGGCCAGGCTTAGCCCAATTCAGCTCTGAGGCAATGCATGGATGCATAGACTACTAAAATGGAAGAGTTTTAGTATCTTTTGTTTTTAATTATATGTATGCTGTGTGTGTGTGTGTGTGTGTGTGTGTGTGTTTGTGTGTGTCTACATGACCATGGAGGCCAGAGGCTTTGGATTCCCTGGAGCTGGAATTACAGGTGGTTGTGAGCCATCTGACATGGGTATGCTGGGAACTGAACTTGGGTCCTTATCAAGAGCAGCACACACTCTTTACTGCCCAGCTATCTCTGCAGCTCACTTTGGTATCTCAAACAGCAAAAGTTATGATATACAATGTCACTGACCACAGCTTAATTCACATTTCTTTCTTCCTAGCAATCAGGCTATGAGAAATGCAGTTTACAATCTTTCCAACCATATGGTCATCGAAAATTGAGATTCCTAACAATATGGAGAAGGAAAAACACAGTGTTACAACTACCATCCCTAATGATAGTCAAACATTCCTCACACTTCAGACACTGGTCCTATCAGTTTTGAATCAACAGATTGGTACTGCACATCTTTAGACACACGGAGGAGGTGGAGGGAGGAAAAAAGAGAACACTCCCTCACAAACTCCGGTTCTAAATTCAAAATAACATTCATAGACTTTGAGTCATCATTTTTCCAGTTTTACAAAATGTAAGCTCTTTCTTTGAAATCTGTTCTAAATGGCAGTCAGGATTATTAAAATCCTACAAAGTACTACTGGAAAGCAACCCAATGTTCTGATATATTTGGTTATATTTTCATGCTATTAAAAGTATTACCTAATTCCCATTCCTATTAAAAAAAAATTTTTGAGGCAGGGCCTTAATACATGGACCAAGTTGGTCATGAACTCAAAATCCTCCTGCTTCAGCCTTCCAAGTACTAGCATTAGAGGCATGTATCACCATCCGTGTCTTCAAATTTTTCCTTTGATTTTTTCTTTGGTCTTTAGGTTATTTAGCAGTGTGTTAAGTTCTAAGTATCTAGAGATATTTCTGAATATGTTGTATCTAATTTAAATAATTAGATAATATGCTTCATATGGCTGAAATAGATTTAAATCTATTGAGGTGTGTTTTATGTCCCAGAATTTGGGCTGTTTGGGATGACATTTCCTGTATGCTTCAGAACTACATGCACACTCAGCTGTAGACGGAGTGAGTGTCCTTTCAAGATCAAGGAGGTCAAGTTGGTTGGCAGTGGTGTTCCAATCTATACACTTACTGATTTTCTGTCCACTTGTTTTTAATAGTTATTGAGAGAGGAGTATAGAAGTTTGTGCATATAACTGGAGATGTTTCTATTTTCCTTTTGGCTCCATACGTTTGCTCTCTGTTTTTTAAGTTCTTTTGTTGGTACATAAACATTAGGAATTGGTATATTTTATTGATCAATGATGCCCTTTGCAATAAGCAATTGGCTTCAGTATCTTCAATAAAACTGTGGCAGTAAAAACCTGTATTTTCTGATATCAATAAAATCAGCACAGCTTTTCCATGATTCAGGTTTGCCTGCTGCATTCTTCAATCCTTTACTTTTAACTGACCTGCTCCTTACATTTGAACTGCTTTTCCTGTCTGCAGCACACACTCAACTGGAGAGACCTTATTTTTGCACGTTCTTCCAATCTCTGAATTTCACGTGGAGTACTTAGAAAGAACTCTGGCATGATTACTGATACGGCTTAAACTGTCATCTTGCTACTTTCTTGCTACTAACCCAGTCTGTTTTGACTTCTTTTCTTTGCTAATTTTGCATCATTGTACATTTCTGGCTCCCGTTTCTTTACATACTGGCTTACAAAGCCTTTGTTTTATTATCTCAGTGTTTTTTTCTACTTATTTGTCACAATATTATCTAGAATAAATTATATATAGCTTTGGAAACGTAAACAATGGCTTTGTTTCTCCACTCTGGATTATTTTACTGCACTGTCATGTATCGCTATACCACAAACTCTTTACTATTGTGCTGTTTAGTTAGACCTGCAAATTTCCCCTTAAAGAGAATTCAACAATCAGAAAAAATACATATTTACAAATGTGGTTGTCAGCTTTTGGAGTTCCTTTTCATATGGATCCATATTACATCTGGTACCATTTCATTTTTTCTGAAAGACTTTTATGAAATGTTTATGACAGCTATGCCTGCAGTAGGCCTTAATTTTACTTATGTATTTATTATCTAATTTTATTTCAAGTGTAGGACTGTTTTTTATTATTATTACTTTTATGTGTATGAGTGTATTGCATGCATGTGTGTAAGTGCACCCCTGTCCTGTTGTATGATGCCTACGGAAGTCCGAAGAGGAGGTCAGATCCCCTGGAACTGGAGTTACAAACACTTTTTAGCTGCCATATGGGTGCTGGAATTGAACCTGTGTCCTCTACAAGAGCAGCCACTGCTCTTAACCACTGAGCTGTCTCTTCAGCACATGTATGACTGTTCTGC